CCTGAGCTGGTGCCCACCTAAATAATACCTCCTGTTTCACTCATTGATCTCTCCAATCTGTTATATTTTGCAACACTATGAGGGAAATTTATTTAGCAGTGAATTCCCATATCAGAAACACAGAATGAACTCCAATAAACAACCTAATGTTGAAACTCAAGCTTCTAGAAAAAGAAGAGCAAGTCAAGCCCAAAACTCATACAAAGGAGGAAATTATAAAGATTAGAGCATAAATTAATGCAATGAAGAAAAGAAAACAATACAAAGAGTCAATGAATCAAAGAGCTGGTGTTTTGAAAGATTAAATAAAATTGACAAACCCTTAGCCAACTTTATCAGAAAAAGGAAAGACTCAAATACATGCAATTAGGAATGAAAAGGGTGAAATCACAACAGATCCTGCAGAAATTCAGAAGATCATCAATACTTACTTTGAGAACCAGTATTCTAATAAGATGGAAAACACAGAAAAAAATGGACAGATTCCTGGATATATATGAATTACCAAAGCTGAACCAAGAAGATATAAAAATTTTAAATAAACCAATATCAGTCAATGAAATTGAAGATGTAATGAAAAACATACCAAAAAAGAAAAGCCCAGGACCTGGCAGAATCACTGCTGAATTCTACAAGAAATTTAGAGAAGACCTAATGCCTCTACTTCTCAAACTCTTTAATGAAATTGAAAGGGAAACAATACTCCCAAAGTTACTCTTAGCAACAAGCATTAAACTGATACCAAAATCAGAGAAGGATCTAACCAAAAATAGAATTACAGGCCAATCTCCCTAAAGAATTTAGACCCAAAAATCCTCAATAAGATCCTGGCAAACAATACAGCAAATTATCAAGAAGATTATACACCATGACCAACTAGGATTCATATTAGCTCTGCAGAGATGCAAGGAGTGTAGACTGGTGCAACCACTGTGGAAATCAGTGTGGAGATTCTTTAAAAAACTAAAACTAAAGGTTCCATTCAATCCAGCTATTCCACTTCTTGGTATCTTCTCAAAAGAATTAGGAACATCATACCACAGTGATATATGCACACCCATGTTTAAAGTGGCACAGTCTGTAATAGCTAAATCTTGGAAAGAGCCCAAATGACCATCAACTGATGAATGTGTAAAGAATTTTTAAAAATCAGAATATACATTCTTTTCAGGTGCACATGGGTCATTCTCCAAAATAGACCACATGCTATCTCATAAAGCATGCTTAAGTAAATGCAAAAAAATTGAAGTGATACCCTGCACATTGTCAAAACACAGCACAACGAAATTGGAGATCAATAGCAAAAGAAATTGCAAGAATTTCACAAACACATGGAAATTGAATAACACCCTCCTGAACAACCAATGTGTCACAGAGGAAATTAAAGAAGAAATTTGACAGTTTCTACAATCTAATGATAATGCCTGTACAACATACCAGAATTTATGGGACATAATGAAAGGAGTCATATAAGGGAAATTCATAGCAATGAATGCTCATATTAGGAAAACAGACTGAGCTCAAATAAACAACCTGATGCTGAACCTCAAGCTTCTAGAAAAGATCAGGACAAACTCAGAGTTCATACAAGGGAGGAAATTATAAAGGTCAGAGCAGAAATCAATACAATGGAGACTAAGAGAGCAATACAAAAAAAATCACTGAAGCAAAGAGTTGGTTGTTTGAAAGAATAAACAAAATTGACAAACCCTTAGCCAACCTTATCAAAACAAAAAAAGAAAAGGCCCAAATCCATGCAATTAGGAATGAAAAGGCTGAAATTACAACAGACCCAGCAGAAATCCAGAGGATCGTCAATACCTACTTGGAGAACCTGTACTCCAATAAGATAGAAAACAGAAGAAACAGACAGATTTCTAGATACATATGAATTACCGAAGTTGAACCAAGGAGATATAAAAATTCTAAACAACCCAATGTCAATCAATGAAATTGAAAACGTAATTAAAAACTTACCACCACCAACAAAAAAAAGGTCGGGTCCTGATGGCTTTACTGCTGAATTCTACAAGACATTTAGAGAAGAGTTATTGCCACTACTGTTTAAACTCTTCAGTGAAATTGAAAGGGGAGCAATACTCCTAAATTCATTCCTGGAACCAAGCATCACTTTGATGCCAAAAGCAGAGAAAGACTCAACCAAAAAGTAGAATTATAGGCCACTTTCCCTAATGAAAACAGATGCAGAAATCCTCAATGAAATACTGGCAAATAGAATCCAGAGGATCAAGATCATACAACCTGACCAAGTAGGATTCATCCCAGGCATGCATGGATGGTTCCACATAAATCAGTAAATGTAATACACTGTATTAACAGAGCCAAGGACAAAACCATATGAACACCTCAATAGATTCAGAAAAAGTGTTTGACAAAATCAAACATCCATTCATGATTAAAAACCCTACAGAAAATTTGAATAGATGGTCTTTATCTCAACCTGATAAAAACCATATATGGGCTGGGGATTTAGCTCAGTGGTTTCGCCACCTGCTGCACAAGCGCAAGGACCTGAGTTCGATCCCTGGTACCAAATAAATAAATAAATAAATAAATAAAATAAAATAGAGTTTTAAAAAAAATACCATATATGAAAAACCAATGGCCAACATCATACTAACTGGTCAAAACCTGAAATCTTTCATGCTAAAATCGGGAACAAGACAAGGATGTCCACTATCACCACTCCTGTTCAATATAGTTCTAGTAATATTTCCCACTGCAATTGGACAAGAAAAATTAATAAAATGAATAAAAATAACAAATGAAGTTAAATTGTCACTATTTGCAGATGACATGATACTCCTCTACATAGAAGACCCCAAGAACTCCACCAAAAGTCTTCTAGACTTAATAGCCAAATTCAGTAGAGTAGCTAGAGACAAGGTCAACACTCAAAAATCAATAGCCTTCCTGTAGAAGAACAACAGACTCACTGAGAGAGGAACTGAAGAACTCCTTTCACAATAGCACCCCAAACAATGAAATACCTAGGAAATCAATCTAATGAAGTAAAACGCCTCTACTCTGAAAACTACAACACTCAAAAAAATGGGCTTCTGAAATGAATAAACATTTCTCAAATTAAGAAGTAGAAACAGCAAATAAACATACAAAAAATTTCAACATCTCTGGTTATTCAAGAGATACAAATGAAAACAATGCTGAGATTCCACCTCACTCCAGAAAGAATGGCTATCAAGAAATCAACCAATAACAAATGCTGGCAGG